CCCGACTTTTTGAAGTAAATGATTCCAAATATTTTTCATTTTGTTTGACATCGTTTTTTTGCTTATTTTTTTCCCTCTTATTTTTTAAAAAACAAACTTGACTGAACCTTGAATTTAGACCAAGCTAAAAAATTAAATAAAAAATAACAAGGAAAATATCAAATAACTTACTTCTTCAAAAATTTTGCTTGACCATATGGTTGTTTTTGCCGTGAGTAAAACCGACTTTTTCTCTTTTCAAAAGAAAATGTTAATGATCCAACAAATAATAAAAATCTTTCAATTTCATTAACACTTACAACACAAAGAAAAGATTATTGAAAATAAAAATAACCATTTAATATGTGTAGTGTTTCAAAGTTTGTTTTTTTTAAAAAGACAACCATAAAATAACAACAAGTTAGAACGATTTATTGTGTATTTTGAAGTGGGGGAGAGTCGTAATGTGAGAGGTAAAATACGGTTATCTCACCCATTCAAACTACTCGTCCATTACCAAAAGGCAAAAATGCCGATTTTTTGAGAATCTCAACAGTGAAAAAGACTGAATAACAGTCTCAGAAAATCGGACAAGTTTGTTCTAATTTTTTGTTAAAATCCCGAAATTTTAATTGAAATTTATAACTGTATTGGTTTTGAGGGTTAAAAAGTCGGTACTGTTTTTTCTTTTTTTCAAATGGAAATTATAAATGAAAACAACAAAAAAACTTTAAAAAACGGGAATTTATTATAAAAGGGTTTCCACTAATAATTGGTAAAGTACCGACTTTTGGCATACAGTTTAGTTACTAATTCAATATGATTACAAAAATATATTTTGAATTATTTCTGTATTTGAATGAAAATATCTTTGTTTGTAACTTATAATAATTATCAACATCATATTATCCAATAAATAGAAGACATACTTTAATTAAATGGACAATTTAAATAAAGTTTGTCATATATGTACATGTTCTTAAACGGAAAAGAAAATACTTTATTTAAAAAACACAAAACAATTGTTACCATTAAAAACAGAGTATAAAATTTGTTGTTTTATGATGTTAACTGTCTGTAAAAAACATCACGATATTTGATAATACGTATTAGTGTTGAATTGATTATTGATCACTAATAACGATTTTTGTTTATTAATATGATATCATTTTAGGAGTTGTTCTTTTAAAAAAGTATTTTTCTATTTTTTACACATTTCATTTTTAATTTGGCATTTATTTTTTAAAAAGTCTTTAATCTTTTTTAACCAAATTGATCTTTTTTCCTGTTTGTTTTTTATTCCAATTCTAATTTTATTTTTTTTCTTATGCTTTTTCCTTCATTTTTTTTTCTGCCAAATATTTTTAAATCAACCAATCCGCAAAAAAACGGGAAATATTTTTTTTCATTAAAAAAACAATCTTTGGGTATTTTTTCCCGCCAGTTTGCATTAAATAAATAAAAACAAGTTTTTTCATATAAAATTCTGCAGTTTTGGGCCCAATAGCTTATTTTGGGACACCCTGTTCCAACAATACTTCAAATTATATTATATTATATTATATTATATTATATTATATTATATTATATTATATTATATTATATTATATTATATTATATTATATTATATTATATTATATTATATTATATTATATTATATTATATTATATTATATTATATTATATTATATTATATTATATTATATTATATTATATTATATTATATTATATTATATTATATTATATTATATTATAATATATTATATTATATTATATT